GATTAACATAAATGTCTCTGTTTAGTGAGGCAAATGTGGATCAGATTTGTGTAAAATACAAAATTTGTGAAAGCTGTGAGGGTTGTATCTTGCAAGGCTAATCAAAACCATAACTGTTCCGTGTTCAGTTCTGTAGACAGATTTATTGTATTTGTTTGAATCATGTTTCCAGTAGAGAAATGACATACTCTATGGGATAGAAGCCGCACAGATCAATCTACCTATGGCTAACTATATAAAGTGCATAGGAGAGTGCACAGCATTTTCTTTTGAAAATCGATAGGAGGAAAGGAGCTGGCTTTCTTAAATAAGTTATGGATAGATGCTTTAATAGTAGAGATCGATTACATCAAAAAGCAGGGGTGAGAAAAAATTATTAATGGTTCTGTAGTTAACTCTTGGTTTTGAAGTGAGAGCACTTGACTGGAACAAAGCTGCACAAAGAGATATCCCTAAATAAAGCTGTGGCTTACACAGATGGTTTCCCAAGGCTGGGGCAAACCTACTTTGTGGCTTGTCTGTCTTTTATTGTGGCTGCAGGATATTGAGTTTCATGTTTGCTGTTGAAATAATTGGATTTCAGAAAAATAATAAACACTTTTCTCTACTGGTACATTGCTAAATAACAGCCTTTGTTCAGTACTTGATATGAAAATTGTGTAGTCTTTTTCTGTGGCGATAGGCAACCAGAGATACAGGGATGAGAAAATGCAGAAAGTCTATTGGCTAGTTCAGGTTGAGAAGTGGTGTGTGATGCTCAGAAGAAAGCAAAAAATCTCCATAATCTATTCCCTTTAAAAATTGCTGTTGCACAAGATACTAGCTCATTTATATTTTGAGAACCCATCTTTATGATACTTTTTTTTTTTTTTTTTTTTTTTTTTTTTTTTTTTCCCCATGCCAGGCAAAATAGCTTTTTTGAATTCCCTTGGATTTCTCAGTCCTTTCAGTAATGAACACTGATCCTGCTAGACACTTTAAAAGTAATTCTCCAGGCAAACATATTAGGAATGCAGCAGACAAAAAGGCTAGGCTTGCTCTTGAGAGAGCAATACCAAAGATGCTTCTAAAAACCAGTGGTATTTAGATGCAACATATGTGTTGCTGCCAAGTAACACAATGAGAAAAAGATTTAAAGTAAGAGGAAACATTATTGATGTAAACTGTCTCCCTTTTCTTGTTATGATTCTTTCCCAGCTTTCCAGCCCCAACTTTTGAAAAGACTCTTAAATTCTCCCAACAGTGATTTTCAATGCATTGCAGAGTGTAATCATGTAGATGAACTCTGTTAAAGCAGAGGCTGGCTGAGCTCAGGCAGGTGCACTAGGTATGGGGCTTGAATTTAGCAATCTTAAAAGTAGTGATGTAGTGGAGGGCAATAATAAATAATAATACTGAGTGGAGAAGAAGTCTGGAAAAAGCAGGGCTTTTGGATATGGCAGGTATCAAATCAGTCTTAAGACTGAGACAGACTTGAGACAGTCTTAAGAACTTCTCAAGAGCTTTCTGCTTTTATCTCTATGTTAGATGAATACGGAAGATCACATTTTTAAATGTGGGCTTTGCTTTCAAATATTTCTTCATGAATTTATTTTTAACTGAAACTGTTGAATACTTTCTTATACTTGAAGTTAATTTTGCATTCTTTTAAGATATTCAGAGTAATTTCCTGTGAGAAAATAAAATTTTTTATCTCTGCTTCTGGGCAGAAATAGTAGAAGACCTTCTATTATGCTTCTGCAGTGGTTGTGCAAAGCTAGGGCAGGTACGTGGAAAAATGAGCATGATCCATAAGGATTCCTCTGCCATTTTATTCTCTGTTGTGTAGATAGCGTCCTCACTTTAAAGATGTCTGAATACTTCTGAGATCACACATCAAACATGTTTCTTTTTTCTCTTGCATTAAGAAGGAAGGTTCTCGTGATTTCATGGTTATGAATTGTTAAGCATAATTGGCATTGAAAGGATGCCTGCAGTGTACCAAGAAAAAAAAAAGGTAGAATAAGTATGAAAGATACTATATATGTCTCACCTCAAACATATCACCTTCTATTGATATTAGAAATATTGCATTTATATAACTGTAAGGAATATAAATTCTTGGTAAGTATATGTGTTGTGATAAAGGATGAGTTACAGTAGAAGTCATCAAAACTGGTGTTTTTTGATAAATTCACTGGTGTGCAATTATAGCTTGAGCATACAAATAATTAAATAAGAGCCTTCACTATGTGTTTTAATGTTAATTATTCTTAAGGCTGAAGATGATATGATGATGAAATAAAGATTCTGTGAAATGCCAGAAAATGCTTGCTCTTCATTTGAGTCAATTTGAACAAATTACATAGCACAAAGTACATAGGATCCCATTTACATCTATCTAGTCTTGACTTTTCTGTGATTCAGAGGACACAGTGTCACTGTTTCACTGCTGAGTTTAATGCCTGTCTTTAAGACGGATGTTCCTGGAGGAGAAACGAAAGTTTGTCTTGGTTGATAATTTCAATGCAGTTCTTTGAAGCATGAGTAACTAATACCTAATTAAACTGCTCACACAGTCTGAACAAATGAAAAAGAAATACTACTTTTTCAGATAACCTTAAAGACATGATTTCTCCTCTAGTGACTTCTACTCGGGGAAATCAATGCAGTGGTGATGCAGAAGCTCTTTCCATAATACCTCATTATCTGAATGCTCTACAGTAGCTCCTGTACAGTATGGAAGACTGTGTGTTTGGAAATCCTGGCTGTATCTAGTCACAGCCATGGGAAGAGTATAATTTCAGTACTGCTCCTTTAATTTGAAGCCAGAGGTATATTCCTTGTCTACAATAAAATTATTCTGATGGTGAAGTCTGATTTTGCTACATGTAGAGCAGACTCTTACAAAATGTTGGGAGAATGTAGACTAATAATTAGTAGTGGAACTGAAAATTCTTGAAGTATTTCTGTTTTGCTCTTCTAATAACTTCAGCTGTTTTAATTTGCTCTGGTTGTGTATTAAGCCACATGCTTTGTGTTTTGCCTTTCTTATGTGAAAGCCTAACAAGAATTCTGATTAAGTTCTATTTCATATCTCTGAGCATATATTAACTAAAATACGCTTTGAGCCAGACAGGACAGAGTAAATAAGCTGTGTTGTTTCTTATGACCAGTACTGCTCTAGGCACTGTTTTTTAAACATTTCTGGCCACTAGGAAGATAGATCATTTCTTATCACCACACTTGTGATGACATGTAGTGAATCATTCTGTGTGATATGAAAATTAGGTTACAAGTAGCCTCTTGTTACTCTTACAAGAGTGCTCTACAATGTTTTTATGATCTGTAGGGATATGCTCTTTTACTGACGAGCAGTCCCACTAATGTCAGGAGAGCTCTTTAGAGACAGAAAGGACTGTTGCACTCAGTTTCTTTGCAAAGTTAAACCCTTAAAAACAGCAAGTAGGAAGCTCTTCACCTAGCATTGTTCCTGGTAGAGAAGAAAAAATAGGAATAGGGAAAAAAAAGAAGACAAAGAAATAAAATATCTGTTCAGAGCTGGGGACATGGGAGGATATTTTCCTTATCTCCAGGAAATGTATATGTATCATGTTTGAATACTTAGGGTAATCTTACTTTTGCCTTAATTTGATGGATTCTTTGGTAAACTGAGATCTGCGTAACCTGAAACATTTACTAAGTCAAAACAATTAACTGTAGCTTTAATTACCTTCTGAGAATTTTTTTCTCAAACTACAAGTATCTCCACTGAGCAATCATGTTTAGCAGGGCCAAAATGAGAAGAGTAACTGTAAGCCTTTGATAGTCAAACACATGAAGACTTGTGCTTAGAATAAAGGATATTTTATGTATAGATGTATAACAAAAGAGGTGACTTGCTACAGTATAAAAGAAAAAAATCTTTCAGATAGTTTTCTCTTTTCTTTTTTTCAAAATTTTAATGAAACAACAGAATATAGGAGTCATTGTTACTTCCCAATTCATGATTTAGAGCAGAATTATTTGACGAAGACATCTGATTTGTGGAAGTGAAGTGTACAACTTTTCTTAAATCTAAGGTATGACTCAGGGGAGAGCTATAGAAAATGAGTCAGTCCTTCTGAGCCTTGAATGCCTAACTTTATGTTGTAACTTTGTTGAAAGTTTAGAGAAAACACAGGAGTGAATTAGTTACTGGCAACAGCTTAGAATTTTTTTTTTTTTTTTTTTTTTTTTAAAAAAAAAGGTATATAGTTCTTACAAGAGGATTGATGCACTTTATAAAAATGATATTATTTTCGTTTTGCATGTACATGTCATAAGAGGGCCTGTATAATGTAATTTGTTGACGTTCAGTGAGTAAAGTGTATTCCTTCCATGTTAGAAAGAACTGCTGTAGTTTGGCAAATAAACTTTATATGATCTTTTTGAATTCAACAGATAGGTGTTTGTCTTCCAGTCTCCAGATTTTTACTTATGAGAAAAAAAAAAAAAAAAAAGCTATACAATCCAACCAGCAACTAATTATCCTAATTGTATATATATATAAAAGACTCATTTGTAAGTGTCATTACTATGTGGGGAAAGAAGGCATCCATTTTTCATAAAATCCCCTAATGTTTGCTGAAGATATTATTATTGCAAAATTCTGTTTTCTTTCCTGTATTATTTCATCCTTTGTTTTCAACTCATCTGATGGAATCTTTTCATATATAAAACAACAGCAAAAAAATCAGCAGGTTTATCTGAATTCAAGTCCCTAGTGTTACTTTGAAGTTAGATTGATATTATCTTCCTTCCCTGTTTTCCTATTTTATGTAGAACCCGAGAATGACACCAGGCTGAAGCTATTTCTAGGATGTAGAGATGCTGTCTGTGTGCTTCTTTTCAAGTCTATCCAACATAAATTCATTTTTCTTTTCCAGCTAGTACGTCTAGGGACTTCAGCACAGAATAGACAGCATAAGTGTAAGAAACAGAGCATAACTTTAAGCCACTATCTGTCTTCTGAATGGCAGGCAATGGAACACTGATTGGAGCATCTGCAAACGTTGTTTGTGCAGGAATTGCTGAACAGCATGGCTATGGCTTCTCCTTCATGGAATTCTTCAGGTAAAATTTTAAACTTTTCTATTTAAATCTGTCTTTTACTTTCTTTATGCAAACAATTGAGCCTCCAGTGAGAAAATAAGTGGGAAAAGTCTGTTAAATAGACCTGCTTTTCTGACAGGTTTTGGCCACTGAATTGTGAGCAGGGATCTGATCACATAGTTTTTATTTAATGTGGATAGAATGTATAAAGGTGTTGTGATTACGTGTGGTAGAAACCCCAGGAGAAACTAAACTTCAGAAATCCCTGCTTTGATCACCCTCAGTCTTATCTTCAACACTCTAGTTTTTCTTCACAGTTTTCTTTATTTTAGTTTATATTCTCTATTAGCTTTCCTTTCTATTGTTTATCTCAGAGTCTTCAAACCTTTTTGACTAATGTGATTAATCATATGGGAGTGTCTGGAAAAGAGCCACTGATAAGATAATGCTTACAGCACTCTTTAACTCTCTTCCCATAGCCCTCTGAGAGTATATTTTAGAAAGACAGAATACCCTTCAAATCAAATGCTTGATTTTCAGGACGTTTGATATTGCATTACAGTCTTACATAATACAAACTGATAAATAACAGACTTGGATTTATAAACAACAAAAGATGGTGATAAAACAATAATGGTCTTGTTTGGGGCTGCTCTGCTCATATTTCACAGATATTCAATCTGTCATTTTAGGATGTAATTTGCTTTTAATATTAAGTTTCTTCAGCAGAGGTTCAGGTTGGACATTAGGAAATACTGCTCCAAGAAAGTGGTTAAGCACTGTAATAGTCTGCCCAGAGATAAGGTGGACTCACTGTCCCTAGAGATGTTCAAGAAATGTTTCAATGTTGTACTGAGGGACATGGTTTAGTGGAATATATTGGTGATAGGTGGACAGTTGGACTATATGATCTTATACGACTTTTCTAACTTTGGTGATTCTAGGATTGTGAGGAAGGATGCGAGAATTGAATCCAGAGTGATCACAGAAATGTAGTAGTGGAATTAGCAAAAAGAAAGTAAAACCCCACTTTTGCTGGCGTCTCAGTCATTGAGCAGGTAGTTAAATGTGTTTCTTCATAATTTGCCTTAGGAAAGTATTTGTCAAATGTTCCCCAGTTCAGTCTATTTGGAGGCATGTCATAGAATCATAGAATCATAGAATAGCGAGGTTGGAAACGACCTGCAAGATCATCTAGTCCAACCACCCTCCCATTCCCAGTACCACAAGCACTAAACCATATCTCGTAGCTCCTTGTCCAGGCACCTCTTGAACACTGCCAGGGACGGAGACTCCACCACCTCCCTGAGCAGCCAATCCAGTGCCTGACCACCCTCTGAGAGAAAAAGTTTCTCCTAATGCTCAACCTAAACCTCCTCTGGTACAACTTCTGGCACTAAGACATGTTACATTCATCCCTTGAGGATTTTGATCTTCCCTTTATTCATGAAGGCATTCTCAAAGCACAGAGTGACTATTTTCTGCATTTCTTCTTTTTTTTTTTGCCCCAGATTTCACAACCCATGTTCAGGGCTCCCTGTTGTACTTGTATCAATTCAACTAAATTACTCTCCTCTTCCACCTTGGGAAGTGCTTCATAAAACTGTATTAATGTTCTTTAATCTTTCCTCTTGAAAAATCTTGTTTGTACTTGAAATTTTCATTATCATTTTAGTAATTTGGAAGACGGGTCTGAACACAGTTCTTCAGGCACAGTCCCCTTATTCTGTTTTCCTGTATTGCAAAGATAAGATGAAATATGAAGTACAGAGCTATTTGCTTTTTTTGTTGTTGTTGTTATTGTGTTGTTTTTGTTTAATTGCACCATTTCAAATTCTTGCTTAATTTACTGTTCACTGTTAAACCGAAGATTCATTCAGCTTTCCTGTTACTTCCCATCACAGAGTGTGGGTGTATCTCTTCTCCCTCTGCTCTGACTCCTTCAGTTCTTTTTCCCCCCTATGTTGAGCTTCTAAACATTATATCATCAGAAGGCAGAAATAAAAGGGGAATTATGTGATATATAATCTATTAAGTGAATTAGAAGATCAACACAAAGAAAGATATTAAGTGTAAAAATAAAAATAATAGTAAGGTTTGGAAAAGGTGATAGTGAGTGGTGGGTCACCTGCTTTGTCAAGGTAGATGTCAGAGCAAACAAATGAGTGTGCTTCTGGAGAGAAACAATTTTGTATGGCAGTCTTGATCCTGTAGAAAACATCAAATTTGTTATTAGGTAATTGCTCATTGACAGCACAAACAGTAAGCAGAAGGCAAAGAAAAATAATATTCATAGTGCGATTTTTAGTGTGGTTATTAAAGAAACACACAATCATAAAAAAAAAAAAAAAAAAAAAAAAAAAAAGACAATTTGACATAAAGGAAAGCTCCAAATGTAGAGTGGTACTATAAACAGATCAGAACAGCATAGACTTCCTGCCTGGACAATTTTCAGAGGTTAACATTAAGAATACAGTGGAGAGAAATTTTCATCTTCTTCAGACATAACAAAAAAGAAAGAACATTGAAGATAAGTCTTCTAATCAAGATGCTATGTTTCATATTAGCGTTTCATTTTTACTGATATATCTCTGAGTCTGTGATATAGCATTACACTTGGCCAATCTACCCAATGGAATTTGAAAATGGCCCATAGAATTATTTCTGTTACTAATAAAAACTTTGTTTCCAACTTCATTACATAATGAGTACTCACTGCTGTAGGACCTCTAATTATCTGTTTCTACATGCTGATAAAATTACCAGCTTGATTTTTAATATTCTCTTTAAGAAATGCATTTATTATCTTGTACATTTACAAAGTATTTCAAACACAGTATAAGTCATGTTCCCTCATCTTACTGCAATACAATACCAATCACCACTGTATGTCTTTGATACATAACATGATTTAAAAAACAAAATAGATAAATGCTCAAGCTATAGGACAAGAAAAGAAAGTGAGGGTTATGTTAAATGCTTTATGTATCATGGTGTAGAATATATAGGTAAAGGAAAAATGAACTGGATAACCATGTAGTGCAATGAGTATATGGGAGAGATTATTTGATACATGAGGAAATCAGTCTGTCCAGAGGAAGAGGGTACGAGCCTGGGGGGCCTGCCTGAGATTATAATGCTAAGGTTAACTGGACATGATCCTGAAAACATTGTGCATATTTTTAGGTTTATCATTTTTCTGTCTTTGCTCTCTCTTTATATGGTATCTGAGGAGCTGAATTGCTATTCTCTGTTTTCACTGGGAGTAACAATAATTTGAAAGTGTCAGAAGATATTGGTTTCTGATAATAGCTTCCTAACAAGTTTGTTTTCATCATAGGATTTGTGTTGGGAGATATTCACAGCAAAAATATTGACTGTAGGATATCTCATTTATCCCTGCTTGAGAGCATTCACCCATAAAGACTGTGAAACAGTGCTTTTGAGGGCTATCATTCATGCACATGGGAGGGCAAATTTCGTGTTCTTTGCTACCCCCTGTGTAACCTATTTACGCAACTTATTAAAAATAGCATTTTTAAAGAAACCATTGGGCTCTGTAAAGTCATACAAATGTCTTTATTCAATGGTGTGTTAGATAGCATTAGTTTTCTGCATTCCAATTCATTTAGTGTCATTTTCCCCTTTTCATTGTTATTAACACCATTCTATGCCAAACACTGTTCTGTTTCAAGACTGATTCTGATCAGAATAAAACCAGCTCTGTTACCTTAAGTGTAGATTTTGATGGTTGAGACTTTAGTCAAGCGAGGTGATATTCAAACAGTTGTACACAATTCACCTGTGGGCTTTCTGACCAGCTGTGCAGCTTCAGGAAATGGGATTTCAGGATGCTTAAAGTATCCAACCCAAATTCATTGAGGAATTGCTGAGGAAAGATTAATGAGTAAGACACACAGGTTAGCTCAATCCCATTTCAGTAAGGAAGAGTGGTGGGTTAAATGGGTAATAAATGTTGATATTTGACATTACAACTGAATTCTCTTAAGTACAGATGCCACACTTGAGCCAGCCCCTCTCAACAAACATGTTAATGAACAATTTCAACTTGTGCAACTTCTAATATTTTACAACTTTTGGTTTTTAAGACTTCTTTCTCTAAAAGAATCCATCATTTAAGGTTTATTTATCACATTTTATCATCTGTATCTTGTTTTCTTTAGGTGCATATGGGAAACATTAGAAACTTTCTTTGAAATATGGAAAACATATACTTAAAACCCTATTGCACTTGAAAATGCTCTCCTTATTACTAGACCTAGGGAATTGAGTTTAACAAATGTTATTTAGATTTTAACACTCTGTACCATGCTAGGAATTGTCAGCACTGGTCAAACAAGCAAATGCAACACTGACATCCACAAGCAAGGCAATTATTAAACTGAATATTGCTAATTTTAAGTATCTGCACAGTCCGTGTAAGAAAGTATTTTTGCATTAGTGTGGTACAAATAATTTTTTATGAATAATTCCTGAGTTATTAGGGTTTTTTTTTTGTTTGTTTGTTTGTTGTTTGTTTGTTTGTTTTTTTAATACATCTTTTGATTTGTGCTTAGGTATGTTTATATTTTAGGAAAAAAAAAAGGAAAACATAGGATTTTGAACCCTTACATAGGAGAATATTTTCTTTTCCAACTTGAAATAGGATTTATCTGTATAATGAGTTTTTGAATGGAACTAAACGTAATTGTGTACCTTCTAATGAGAGTCAATATCTTTGAATTCTTTGCTCTGCGAACATACAAATAGTGGTTTTGCTTCTCTGCTGTGAAATCTTTGGATTTTCAAACTAGCCTCCATAAAAGAAATTAAATTTAAACACTTCACATTATTTTTAGTGATGTAAACACAATGTTACTCAGATATTATTGCTATTATTTTTTTAAATAGTGTTTTTCTTCTATGGTTTATGAAATATGATTGTATCATTCTCTAAGATTTTTTACAAAGATTTTAAGAAAGCAATTGCAATGATTTAATTTATTATTGGTCACTCATTC